TTAGTATTATTATAAAAACAAAATCGTAAGATAAAGAAAGTTTTATGACTGACTTAGATTCACACTCCATGTCTTGCTACAAGAGACTATTTTAACTAGAATATAAAGAGGAAATTTCATACATACCTGAATAACATAAGAAGCCTAAGACAAGAAATTAGCATGGAGGAATAATAGAACAAAGAGAAGTACAATGAAGACATAAACATAAAAGAGCCAATAGAAGTCAAATAGACAGATGACAAAAAAATTAAGAACAAAGAGAACAACAGATTTTAGTAGAGAAGTACAAGACTAGGAGAATTAAACTAAGGTGTATAGGGATACATGAAAGCCTGGGTTTAAAATTTGATTAAACAAAAAAGAGAGTACAGATAGTACCTAGTATTCAAAAATAGAGAATTATAAAAAAATATTTATTAGTATGTAATTTCTATTGTTTATTCAGAATTTTTGAGACAAAATTTGATATTTTGGTAATTAATGAATTATTCTTGTGGAGCAGATCAAGCAGGTTCCATAAATTTCTCAATTGCCAAACAAAAAATCAACACTACTTACAACCAAAATGATACACATAATAATTCTAGGTAACCATAGGACTGGATAGGCAAATATTTTTATCTTTTATGGGTCTTGATGCCCTAAATATTTGTAATCAGTAAGCCATATACTCTGAAGTTGTCGATGCTAACCTAGTTACTTTGCAAGTTTTGGTTGAAAGCGGGAATTAATAAATTTTTACCATCTTGAAAACAAGAAACTAAATCCAATTAATGCGCAAAATGAATTATCAGGATATGAGAATCTTTGTATTAATATCAATACTTAGTAAATCAATTAAGTTTTGAAGATTATTTAAGCCAGCCATTGTGGAAGCTCAAAAATGTGTCTAATGCAATACTTTATTGTAAGGATGCTGATATTAGTTATGCAAAAAAAAAAACTAAAGAAAAGGGGAGAAAACTATCTTTGTTCCTAAAATGGCCTTGAAGCATAAGGGCAAAAAATAGAAAAAAATTTATTAATGCTAACTCAAAATATAAGCAAGCTGCTGTTCTGAGGGTTTACTTATTGCAGCAGGCTTTCGATTTATTAGCGGAAAATAAATAATTAATAAACTAAATTTTTAACAAAGAGCAGCTGATCATACAATACTGAATTTTAATTAAATGGTTAACATAAATGATGAATTATAACTGTTTAAGCATTTCGAAATCGATGCCACTTCTCTTCTTATAATTTAATCCCTTTAAAACTTAGGTTATTTTTTATACTGACATTTTCATTTCGATTCTTTTGAACAATTTTTTTAAAAAATAACTTTCTATCAGGAATTTATTAAAACTTGGTTCAACTTCTTTATATTTTTCTTTATTTTTTAAAATATTAGTTTTATTTGGATAAGTATTAATAAATTAATCTTAAATTATGACTGTTTTTTTAGATAATCTTTCCATTTCAACTATAGAAGTTTGGTTGGCCCTACTCATTCTAAAAGACGTTTATGTATATCTTAATTTGGAGATGGTTGTAAAATTAATTCAAAATGCAAGGAAAATATGTTGTAAGAAGATTGTGCAAAGGATATTAATAATTATAAATGTTTTGGTAATGGCAAATGTTAATTGAAAATATTGGAGTATTTCACATCAATTATAAAATGAATTTTGAATTGATTCAAAATGTTCCATGTATCATCATTTCAATTAAAAGCTTATCTTCGCTTTAATATAAATAACAATTTAAATTTCTTAAATTTTTATTTGCATTTTAGATAATTTATTTTAAAATAATCTTAGTTAAATAATAAATATGCTAGTTAGTTATGTTATAATTAATATTTCTTTTTCTTTATAATTGGTTATCTCTCGAATTTTTATTTAAGTTACCTTAAATATGTGTTAAAAATAGTATTACAATTTAATAGATATTAATGAAAAAACACCGTCATTTATTCACTTATTTTTATTAAATATTTAGGAAAAGTTCTTTAATTACCATATATTTTGAAACTTCATATATAAAGGAAAACTGTGGATTGATTAATTTTCTTTTAAAATAAAAACTGTTATTAAATCTAAATCTTGTCCTTATTTATTTTTTAATTTAATTCAATAAAATAAAATGTAAAAAAATAGTCTTAGGTTGCTATAAATTATCATTCTGGCTTTATTTGAGTATTATAATTTGTTATTAAAGATAAGTATTTTCAAGCTGCAATTACATAAGCTCAAAGAATCATTTATGTTTAAAGCAATATAATTCTGATTGCATTTAGTTATTTCTATTGTATTTGTGTTAATTATTTAGTGTAATGAAATTAAATAACAACACAATTTAAAGAGCATATGTCGTAGTAAAAGGAGATTATTTCAGAATTAGATAATTTGATTAAAACTAATTATTTTAAATCTTAAATTTGATGAGTACAAGATAAGTTAAAACTCACAGATTCTAAAGTATTTTAGACGTTTTTAGGAATATCATTTTATATACTTCCTTTCAAAGTATATAAAGACTTCACCAACTATACAGGGTATGGCATATCATTTTGAGTTTATATTAGGTTTTAAGGAGCTTAATTGGTAATGTAATAATGTTTGAAATAATCTTTTCAATAATCATCTATAATTTCAATAGAGTCACAAGTCTAAACAAGCACAAGGATATAAAGTTTCTGAAGTGTCAATTGACATTGACTATATTATTATTTTATTTATTTACTTCTTAATGTTAAGTTCTTAAGTTTGTAAATATCAATAGTTTCTCTTTCATTCTAATGTCAAGTAAAACTACATCTCCATTTTTTAATAGAAAGCCTTACTTATCATTCTTATATATTTTAATCATATAGTCCTTATTTAAATTCTAAATTCTAGACTAATTCTTAGAACCGATACCTAATTAAAGGTAGTAACTATAATTTGATTTTGTCGTTCGAAAGGCAAGTTTTACATTTTCATATAATAGAATACTAGGCTCACAAAAAACAAACGATTAAGATACAGACATCCCATTTTAACGTGCCATCTTACCACCATATTCAACTCTGATATCTTTTTCTTTGACAAACGAAAACAACACTTTTTGGTATGAAGGCTATATATTTTTTATTAACTTTGGATGGGCCAAATTACTTTTTCAGGATAATATTGCTTCACTTGTTATTAAAATTATTATAATTAGTTTGATTGTGAAGATTATTATTGTAAATTATTATTGTTGCTTTTAAACTTGCTCAAAATAGTTGGGTTTTTAAAAGTTTATAAATTGTAATGACATTGTTTATTAATAAATCGATCTTTCTTATTCTATTTCTTTTTAAATTTAAAAAGGTCCAATATTTTATTATTTCTCTATTTTCAAAATTTTTATATCAAATTAACTTATTCTGTTATTCTCTAACTTTAAATTACTTAAATCATCATATACTTTAGATAATAAAGGAATTAATGAAACTTTTGTCATTGTAATTTGAATTAATTTGTTGATTTCATCTTTCAAAATCTTTTGTGATATTTAGGAATAGTCTATGTTTTAATTTACTGTAATTGAAACTAAAAACTTTTATAATTCTTCGCTTAATTACATAATTTCATTAATAAATGTTTTCAAGTCTTAATATGTTTTCATTTATAGTTTTATCCATTCATTTAATAAAAGTTTTTAAATCTTCGATATGTTAAATATGATTTTTTAATCTACAATGATGACAATAAAATCTTAGATATTTACAATCTATTTTTAGACATAATCCAATTATTGAACTTTCATGATTTTCATAACAACAAAGCTATAACATTATTATTTTAATTTTAATTATTGAAATTCTATCATTTATTTTAATTAATAAAACTGTAAAATATCAAGTTATTTAATTCTAAAAAATTTTAATAAAATGAAAAAAAATTTATGCATTTTCTCCTCTGGCTAAGTTACTCATTTTATCTTAATATATCTTATTCTCAGATTATTAGCACAATAAATATTTCATTCAAGGATTATTTGTAGTATTTTTTCAAATCATTTTAATAAATTGTCCTTCACTTTTAATACCACATTATTCACTAGAGATGAATATTTAAAATTTTTGAATAGTATCTTGAAAAATTGATTTTGTCATTAAATAAAAAATTACTATTATATTTGTTAAATTAATTATAATGCTGCTAATTATAAGAAGTATTAGAAAAGAGCTCTGTTAATTATAGGTATTTTTTCTGAAAGTTAAAATAATCAAAATGGTGAGGAAGTTTTAACATTCATAATAAATTATAAATCCTTAATTTAAACAAGTATAAGTAGACTCATATTCTAAATGAGATGTTATGGACTAGATTTTAGTTTAATAATAATTTTATTTTTGAGGAAAAAATAATTCTATAATATGAAATTAAATGGCTTTAAAGGTATTAAAAAATTTATCATGCATAAAGGAAATTTCTATTAATTTACATTATAAGTAACTTTAATTACATTGACAAATTCAGTAAGTAAATAGATATTGATTTCTCTATCAAAATGCATAAATTTAATCTCCAATTTAAGAATAATACTTCTTTTAAATTTATGGGTTTGGTTCACTTTTATGTTTATTATACTAGTTACTTAAACATTTTATCATCATTTGCATAAATAGATTTAATTACTGAGTTTCTTTCTGTGATCTATAATAGATGCTATCACTTTTACTAGAATGTTTAGAAACTCGTTTAATAAAGATAATCATTATAATATATACATAATTATTAGAATGTTTGATTTAAATCATTATAATTTATAATGAAAATATATCATATTTTTTAAATATATTTTATCAATTAGAAATTTAAATAAAAATTCTTAGTTATAATCTATTAAACACATTTTGTATTGTAGATTATGATAATTAGTTCAAGTATTTGACTAAATTTATGCTCTGGATGAACAGCATCAGGTTTTTTGAATTCAAAACTTTAGTAAACAAAAGATAAATCATTACTTAAAATCAAAAATACTGAATAAAACAGAAAATTTAAGAAAAAATAAAGAATATCAATAATGAACACTCTTTGTAGATTATACAGTCTTAATCGAATCTGACAAAGGAGAGAACTCATAACATTTGGATGGAATACAAATATAATATGAAAGGAATGAACTACAAGATTAACTTCAGTATATATGAATTTATCGATTGTGTAGATTTAACAATAAATATCATAAAATATACATTCTACCCAATTCTGCTGGCAATCCACTATTGAAGGTTCAAAACATCTAAAATGATATTTAAAAAAGAAAAGGATTTCAGCTTCGCATTGAGACACTTGCAGAACAAAACTAACGCAAAAAATTGCATTATTGCCAACCTTCAGAACAAGACTAGAACAAAAATAGTGTATGTACAAGCAAATAAACATTCACAATTTTAGTGTTTTTATTTGATTTTTAACTTTATAAACAATTTAATAAGGTACATTAAAAGAAAGTAGCAAACGATTATTGCTTCTCCAACTACTTTAGACTTTGAGATAAAAGCTCATAGGCTTATTGCCATTTCTATTTATTTAGTAATTCTATTCCTATTTATTATTTATTGGATCAAATACCTGAATGAAGTTGAATGTCAAAATCTTATTTTAAATCTAAATCTTTGGATGATTATTATTATTAGTAATCTGAATGAAATGCTTTTATCATTCTTTTAACATTGATTAATTAAGTTCTTATAAATTTAAAAATTATATAAAAATACCAATTTAATTCTACTTTGTGATCTCATCCTAATTATTCAAATATTGATACCATTCCTTAATTGACTATAAGTTTTCTTTTATTTATTGATATTCTTATTATGATAAATATTCAGATATCTTAATTAATTATTTGTTCATCTTTTCAATTTATTTTTAATATTCTTCAAATTTAGTTTTAACTTAAGCAAAGGATTTATTCAATTAATCTCCTAAATTGTTAAGATTTTCTTTGGATTTGGTTATAAGATTTTAGATCTAACCAAATCCTTTAAGGTCTTTTTTACAATTAGTGTGTTTCATTGGATCAGCAGCGCATTAAAGACAAAACTAAGATTTTGAATCTTTGCATCCAAAATTTAAACAATGTCCTTAGATGTCATCATTTTCATGAGAAATATCTTAGCACGTGTACTATTTCTATTAATTCATTTTATAAATAATTTATTTATTAATCAAATTAACATAATAAATTCATTAAATAATTCACTTTTCATATTAGAATATTCTAGATCAAAAATAAATGATGAAACTCTAATAATAAATACACTGATTGCAGTAGAATAGCTAAACTATAGTATTCATATAATTATCCAACTCAATTATGGTTTTTTGCTATACTTGAGCCTTTTTAATTTATTCCTTTTTTAAACAGCTTTTAAAGCTTATCAATATTAAGACCATACTTACAAACTTCTTAAAATTCATAATTTTTTATAAGGATAATAATAAATAAAAATATTGAATAATAGAAACAGAATTTAAAATTTGATAAAGTTTTCAATTAAATATTGAAACTAATTAATTCAAAATTTTGGCTAAATTTAATAAAAAAAGTTTTAATAGTCAAATCTAATTAAAAAAATAACATTAAATAAAATAGATTTAATTTATTTTTGATTGATTTCTGAACTGAAAAAAATTCTCATATGTTAATTTTATCCTCTATATTTTCTTAAAAATTATGATTATAAATATTTAAAAAAATATAAATTGATAATATTTTTTAAATTATTTTTAATGAATTCATTTGATTATACTTAAAATTAAGACAAAAAGTTAGAAAAGAGTAAGTATAAGATAATAAATGAATATAAATTAAAAAATTAAGAGATAAGCAGTCTAAATTTTAATTCCCATAATTTGATTCTGTTTGTTGGGATAGGTAAAAAAATAAAAATTTTCAAATTTGTTAAAAACTCTCTTTAATTGATAGGAATTTATCTTAACAATAGAGAGCATTTTTCTAATATATATTTGATGAAAATATCAAATTTGATGATTAGTGGAGATTCAGAAGGTTATTTAAAAGTTTTTTAATTGAATGATATGAAATAAACTCGATATATCTAAAAATTCAAAGGCCATTTTGCTTGTTTATCATGTATTGCAATGAGTATTCAAGAAAATGAAATTATCACTAGCAGCGTTAATTCAACAATCAAATTTTGGAATTAAAAAAATAATTGGAAATGTTTCTAAACTATAGATAAACATCGAGATCTTCTTCTAGGTTTTAGCTTAAATGAATAAGGAAATTAATTAATTTCATATGGATTTGATGATTTTATATTAGTAATAGAGAAATCAAAAAATAATAAATTATGGTAAGTGATATAGAAAATAAGCAATAAAATGATTGAAGGAGGAAGAATTTCATTTATTAGTAATGTATTATTTTTCATTTAACCAAAATAAAAAGATATTATGATAGTTTATAGTAAAAAAGATAATGAAAAAATATTTTCATATACTTCAGAAATAAAATTGTAAGCAAGTTCTTCTGGCCTTGATTGTTTATCTAAGTAACAATTTTTGAGATCTAAATTATTACTGATAACTAAATTAGGATAGTATGTGAATTGTATTAGATTAAATGAAGATGGCAGTGTTATATTTTAAGATTATAAAGATTTAGGTAATTCAAATTTTAAAGTTTTATTAACTGATGATGCAAATTATTTGTTTGTGGCAAATAAGGATTTTCATAAATTATAGATTAGATAATATTTTTGATTTGAAATTTATCAATCATAAAAAAATTATTTTCATTTTAATTTTAAAATTCTATTAACAATTTTACTATGTAAATGATGTCATTTATTTCTCAATTACAATCATTAATAAGTTAATATGTAGGTTCTTTATAAATGCTAAAAATTATTCAAATAAAGTAAATCTACAAAATAAATTCATTGTAATATGGCTATGAACAGTCTTTAACTTATTAATAAAAATAGTCAAAGAATTAAACTATTAAGATTAAACGCTCATTGTTAAGTAATTAACTTAAAAATATTTCTAAATTGTATAAGTTTTTTAGTTCTAATTATTTCAAAAAGATCATTTCATATTGAAAATAATTATTTATCAAAATTTATTAATATTAAGTTTTTATGTAAAGATTTTTTATAAAAGCTTAGAAATCAAAAATTTACATTAAAATAAATAAGATTCGGATCATAATAAGTTATTTTATTTAGCTAATTAATTTTAAATTAAATCTATAATAAAGGTTTAAATTTTCTTTCAACTTATCCAAACTCAATCTTTAAATGTTATTGCAAAATTTTAAAATTAATTTTGAAGTTCTAGCTCTCTTTACAATTCAGTTAAAACTTAGATCTTATTGTTTTTATAAAATATTTATCCAAATCTTTTAGATAAATAAAAAATCAAACTAATTGTGAAACATGTTTGATTTTTTATCATTTCAATTTGAATTTACTTTTTAAATTATGACTATTTTTAAATATAAATTATAATATATCTTACAAGTTTAATTAACAACATTATTCTAGAATCTAATTTCATAAATATTTGAGTATTTCAATAATGTTTAAAGATGCTAATTAATCTAATTTTTTATAAAAATATATTACTATTTAACCTTTTCAATTAAGTTTTTTTAGAAAAAATATTTTTGATTTAAACAATTAAAAATAATTTAAATTTCTTTTTGCAGCATGAATCTTTACAAGCCTTTAAATCAATTTAATTCTTGTGTTTAACATAATGAAAAAGCAATTTATCTAGATATGGAAATGAAAGAAAACAAAAGAATATTTTATTGCTTGAAATGTATTGAAAAAATAAAAAACTTAAATAACTTATTATCGATTAAAGATGCTGAAGCTTTCATATAAAAAAATCAAAAATTAATAATGGAAGATAGAAAATTACTAAATAAATAAAATTTAGAAGTTCTCCTAAAATTAAAGTAACAATTATAATAATTTTAATCAAAATTATCCTAATATATTGAATAAAATGTATAAAAAATCAATGACCATGTTTAAATTATTATTTCAACAGAAGAGTCATTAGAATTAAAAATTAAAGATATGCTTTGCAAAATTATCTATGAAAATAGTGATATGGATTAAAATTTTGAAAAATTAATTGATTATCAATAAATAAAAGAATCATTATCTTATTCTTTAACGCTTGTATCAAACTTCTCATTTTTAGAAGAATAGTAAAAATTTTTAAAGTAAATAAAATTGGGAAATACTATTAATTCACTCGAATTAATCAAAGATTTTTTTAAAAACTAATAAGATACATAATTTATAAGAAATTAAAATTGTAATATTCATTAGCTCTAACTTGATTTTATTTATAAGAATTAAAAGAATTAATATAATATAGGTTGTATGAAATGTGATTTTGAAAATGTTATATAGAAAAGAAGTCTATGTGAGTTAAAATAATGTTGGGATTAATTTTAAAATAATACCTAAAATTATGTTGGATTTCATTAAAAAGTTCAATCTTCTTTAGAATTATTAAAATAACATAAAATAGCATTTATTTAAATAATAAATTAGCTTAATTAATTATTTGACCCTAATGAGGAAAAAATAGATAGAATTAGGAAAAAAACATTTAATTTAATAAAAAAAGATTGGATTGAGATGACTACTGAAGACGTATCATTCATTTCAAAAATTTTAAATGATTAAAATAATCAGCTAGTCTTTGAAGATACAATCTAAGCAGAAATAGAAGCAAATTAGACATAAATTCGATAATTTTGTTAACATCAAATATAAATTACTGATTAAATTAAATATTCCTATTAATTTTAAAATACTAATAACTAAAAGAATATTTCTAAATATTCAGATAGTAAATCAACATAATTAATAGAAGGTAAGTCTTAACATTCTGGAAAATAATATATAGTAATAAATACTTTCAAAGAAGATGAATGCAAAGCTCTAGCATTTAATTAAGACTCAACAATAATGATAGCTGGATATTTTAATGGTTTAATAAATGTTTATGAATTTAAATTAGGATTAATTAAACTTGTATAATAGTTAAATTAGCATCGAAATATGATTACTTGTCTAAGTTTTATGAAATAATCTAATGGGTTTGTTTCTGGGAGTAAAGACATGACAATAATTATATGGATGATGAAAAATAATGTCATTTTGGAAGTATAAAGAATATTAAATGCTCATTCAGATTGGATTGTTTGCTTAATTATAAATAATAATGACAATCTAATTATTAGTGGAAGTGATGATAAATCTATAAAATTTTGGATAAAATAAAATAATTGGAAACATTCTTAAACATTATTAAATCATAATGGAAGAATAAGAAGTTTAAGTTTAAATTAAAGTTAAAATTAATTAATTTCTTGTGCGGCTTAAGATGATCGTATTTTAGTTTATTAGAGTGAAAACAATAATACTTGGATTTTAATTTAAGTAATTTAATAATGTGGATAAAGAATATGTTTTCTTAATGATTATATTTTTACAGTTTAGTAAATGAAAACATAAGAGATGTAAATTTACGAATTAAATTTATAAAATAAACTATTTTATTAAGCCAAAAATATATATGTTTAAAGTGGAAATGGTTGTGATTGGTTATTTCCAAAATAATTTATTAAAACAAAATAATTATTAATAAATAAGAATGGATAAAATTTAAATATAATTAAACTAAGAAATAATGGAGAAATTATTACAGAATAATCAATAGATTTTTAAACATATTTTTTTTATGGAGCTGTTACTGATGATGGGGAATATTTAGTAACATGGAATGCAAAAACTTAAGAAATGTAGGTTAGGATATATAAAGAATGAATTTTAATTAAAATAATTATCTATGAGATTTTCTTGTTATCTATAAATAAATTTCTTTAAATAATGATATTAAAATTTTAATAATATTCTTTATTATATATATTAAATCATATAGAATATTCTAGATTCTTCTATAAATAACATTAAATTACGAAAGGCCATTAATAATTAATGATAATTAATTTTAAGGATGTAAAATAAAGAAAGCTGTGGATCATTTTAAATAAATAATAAGCCTTTTAAATTTGAGCTATTTTAGGAATAAGTAGTACATTAATAGTAATTTTGTTATGCAATTGCTATTAATGATAATAACAATCTATTAACTACTTCGGCATATAAAAACATTAAAATACACTATTTCAATAAAGGAAAAATGAAATAACTTAAAGAAATATAAAAACATTAAGGTTGGATAACAACTCTTAATTTTTTTAAAAAGAGACCCAACTTTGTTTCTGGTTCTTAAGATGCTTCAATTATTATTTGGTTTTCAATCCTTATGCCTGTTTCTAAATTTATGATGAAATTAAATGTACATTCTAGAGCTATTAATTGTGTTATCATATCATAAATAGATGAAAATCTTTTTATTAGTGCATCAGGTGATGGTACTATTAGATTTTGGTCCTCTTTAATATCTAATAGCTCTTAATGGTTATGTTATTAAACAATTAATGAACACACTAATTCTATTTATGAATGTTCACTTAATGAAGATGCAAGTTAATTAATTTCTTGTAGTTAAGATTGCAAAATCTTAATAATTGATAGATAATAAAATTAAAAATGGTAAGTCAAACAGATTATATAGATGAATAGAAGAGGATATAGATTAAAATTTATAGATTATCACACCTTTGTTTTTCTTTCATACTCTTCAAATCATCTTAGAGTATATAAACTTAATGTAAATTCAAATAATTAAGAAGAATATATAAATATTTAAAATATACCAATACAAGGTAGTGAATAAGCATGTATGTGTTACTTTCCATCTTAATATAATAAATAAAAAAACTTATTAATAATTAAGAATGGCTACTATGTTAATTGTTTAAGATTAATACCATCTCATTATTCCACTTAACTTTTAGATTGTGAATAATCATTTAATATTGATTTTAACAGTTAAACTGAAGGAAATATATTCGGAACATTGAGTGATGACGGAGAATTTTTGATTTTTTGGGATGCATACTCACGAACATTTTAAGTTAGAAAATATTCTGAAAATATATGAGTTGATTTTACAGAATAAGTAATTTTAAAATAGCATATAATATTTAAATATAAAATCTTTAAATTATATTGAATTTATATTCAATATTACTTTTCATAAGTCTAATATTATCAGTGTTTTTGAATTTATGATTACTTACTTTCTGCTTTATTAAAGGGCAAAATAATGCAATTCGTTAATAAAAAGAATGCTTTATTCTATTGAATATTATATATATTTGATTATCAATTGGGGCTAATTAAAAACCAATAGATTATTTTCCTGTTAAACTCATAAATTTAATTAATGCTGGAAGAATAACAAAATCAAAATTTTAATCTTGTAAGTTTATTTATTTTGTTGGGTAAGTTAAAATTATAATTGAAGCTAGATTAAAATAAAAATATCATTTCTAATAAAATTTTATATTTCCTATAAATTAATTGCCATTAATATTAGCAGATATAATAACAGATTTGTACAACTGCCTTAAAGCTTATTAAATTAAAGTTTCAAATTTTAATCATAGAATATAAAATATGTTTAATTCCACAATTATTTTTTTAGAGCAAACTTTTGCTCCTTTAATTATTCAACTTATCGAACTTTAATATTAAAAATTAATAAATGAGATAAAACCAATTTTTAATTATGAATTAAGGAATAATCAAGTTAAATGATTTTTGTGAAAATTTAATTATATTTTAAAATGTATGTTTAAAGAGTATCAATAATTGTATAATTAGAATTTTATTTTTAAAGGCTTTTTATTTTTTTTATATTTTTATTAAATTAATATAAACTAGCAAGCAATTAACAATATTATAGCGAGGCATAACAAGAAAACTTATTTATTTTATAAATATACTATAAAAATTTTATTGAATTAAATAATAATTATTCAGAAAATGTCTAAATTGGTTGATTATTCAGATGATGATGAAAGCAACAAAGCTGTAAAAATTATAAATAGAACCCATATGAGTGGATTTTACCCATCATTTTGCAAAATTGATGTCACTTCATAATTTCCTTTTTTAAAATCAGTTCAAGAATATCACATAAGCTTAAGTCTTAATTTTCAATTAAACTACCATTAAATAAAAGATTTTATTGATTCAATAAAAAATGATCTTGAGGTATTTTAATCCTTTACTTGTACTTTGAAATCTGAAAGCAAAATTTATAAAAATGAAATAACTCAAAAAGAATATATAGTCTTAGAAGTTGATATGAATAAAGAAAAAATTAAGTAACTTATTAATATTATAGCAGAATCTATAATAATTTTTGATAAATAATATTAAAGAATTGACATAAATCCTCATTGTACAATAAAAAATCATTTAAAACTTCAAAATAAAATTTTGCTTAAGATTACCAAAATTGATATTCAAATAGGCAAATAGATTACAAAAATTCCCTTAAAATGAATAAATTTCTTTTATATTTGTATTAAAAATATAAAAAATTACGTATTTATAAGAATATTTAATTAATTATTTGAGAGAGTTAAGGAAAATAATAATTAATTTTATTGTTATCTCAAATGTAACTTATTTATATATTATAGATCTTTAGTAACAGTATAAGCAATTTAATTCAAAAATTCTAATTTACTATAAACATTAAAGAGAATTTAAGAATTTATATTCCATAAATAAATAATTTATATATTTAATTATTAATTAATTTTGGAAAAGGGAACTATCATTATATTTTATACTAAGGCTTTTTTAATAAATTAAACTAAGCACATGGCATAACTTGTTACAGAAATCATTTTTGTTACATACAATTAATTGTTAGTCAATTCTTTTATGAGATATGTTAAATTTATATTTATTTATGTAAACATATTTAAGATGATTAAAAATTATGATATCAATATTGAAGTTTGTATAATTATCATTAAAATATATTAAAGCATGGCATAATTCTAAAATTTAAATTTGACCTCAAATAAAACTTTTTAGTTTAAAATAATTAATATACAATCATTTACAATAGTCAGATGAATGAATGAATTTAATTTTCACATATTTGCAAAATATAGAAGTAAATTAATAATAAAATAATTAATCCATTTACTCCTAACAGAATGATGATGAAGATTTCTAATAATTTTCGAAAGTTCGACATTTTTGGTCAATAAATTCGACTGAAAGCTTAAGGCTAATCTGTTTTTTAAACTTAGATTGGAGCATTTATGACTTTCTTATTATTTAGCATTCTTATCTATTCAAGTAGTTTATTTATTATTGAAATGAACAAAGGTAAAAATGCAATTATGAACTCTCAAGATGCTGTTATATAAAATAATGAAGTAATTATTTACCAATTCTAATAATTTAGGGTTTCAGCTTTAATTCCACTGAACTAATATTTTCAGCAGGATTGCTTGATATTTTAGGTCAACCTATTCCAAATGAATACAATAGGATTTTTAAAATTGGTTTTTATATATGCAATAAATCATTAAATCAAACAGAATGTGTAATTATACCAGGATCTATTTGTGGTGAAAGAATTAGAGAAGCATCAAAAGTAATATATTTTATTCAATAATATAGAAATTAAATATAGCTTCTGTATATGAAAACATGACTTATTGTATGAGCGAAGAATATATTAAAGAAAATCCTACAATAAGAATTTAAGGATCAAATCGTTATGATAATTTTACTTTAATAGGAGCATTAATAGAAAGATGTTCAAATAGCACAGACATTTAGAGTAATATATTATATAATTTAGATTGTGCATCACAAGAAGAAATTGATAAATATATAACAAATAGTAATCTTTATTATTCCTATTCTTTTCATTAACTTAATAAAGAATCGGAAGATTCTCCATATTAGAAGACTGAAAATATAGACTTAACTTCACTTTATTATAATGTAGGTAAATACATTAAGATTTATTTTCAATATTCTTAAAGTTTTCTAGAATATAATCCATTCTATTTTTTTCCTAATACAGAATATCATGAAGGTATTGAATATTAAAAAACAGTCACTGATAGTGTTCTTTATTTTTAAGATCCGAACACTTTAGCTAGAATAGAAGTTCATTTAGATGCTAAAAAAAAAGTTAGTTTTATTACATATTAAACCTTAATGGATGTAATTGCCAAAATAGGAGGCTTATTTACAATTATTAGAGCCTTGATAGATATTGTCATATTTCCATTATAGTGGATTCTATATAGGCTTTTTTTGATCAATTTTTTAATCATGCATTAGGATTAAACCCAATAAAAAGATAATTAGTTGAAAGAAGATAAGAAAAAATAAATTTGTATTTTTAAACTTTTTATATCTTCAAAATCAAGAAATTACTTTAACTAATAATCATTATTAATAAATAAATACTTAGATGTAAGACAAATTTTAATACATCCGCTTTAATTTACATAAAAAATAGAGGGTATACAGGATTCTATCAAGAAAATTGATGTCTTAAGTTCTAGATAAATTAAACTGATAACCAAGTAGGAAATGGATGAATTAGTTGTCTAAAGTAATCAAGAAGAATGTTTAGATTATAAATGTTAAAGTTATGGAACTATCAATTCAGAGAGTAAAATAAGAAATCAAGATAATTATATCATTCCTTAAATGAAAGTGTAAATACATTGAAATTGTAAATAAAATTAAATTTAATTTCGATTATTCTTAAAATTATCATTCAAGAAAATATTTCTTCTTAAATTACTTCATATCTGCTTANATCAAAAGTAATATATTTTATTCAATAATATAGAAATTAAATATAGCTTCTGTATATGAAAACATGACTTATTGTATGAGCGAAGAATATATTAAAGAAAATCCTACAATAAGAATTTAAGGATCAAATCGTTATGATAATTTTACTTTAATAGGAGCATTAATAGAAAGATGTTCAAATAGCACAGACATTTAGAGTAATATATTATATAATTTAGATTGTGCATCACAAGAAGAAATTGATAAATATATAACAAATAGTAATCTTTATTATTCCTATTCTTTTCATTAACTTAATAAAGAATCGGAAGATTCTCCATATTAGAAGACTGAAAATATAGACTTAACTTCACTTTATTATAATGTAGGTAAATACATTAAGATTTATTTTCAATATTCTTAAAGTTTTCTAGAATATAATCCATTCTATTTTTTTCCTAATACAGAATATCATGAAGGTATTGAATATTAAAAAACAGTCACTGATAGTGTTCTTTATTTTTAAGATCCGAACACTTTAGCTAGAATAGAAGTTCATTTAGATGCTAAAAAAAAAGTTAGTTTTATTACATATTAAACCTTAATGGATGTAATTGCCAAAATAGGAGGCTTATTTACAATTATTAGAGCCTTGATAGATATTGTCATATTTCCATTATAGTGGATTCTATATAGGCTTTTTTTGATCAATTTTTTAATCATGCATTAGGATTAAACCCAATAAAAAGATAATTAGTTGAAAGAAGATAAGAAAAAATAAATTTGTATTTTTAAACTTTTTATATCTTCAAAATCAAGAAATTACTTTAACTAATAATCATTATTAATAAATAAATACTTAGATGTAAGACAAATTTTAATACATCCGCTTTAATTTACATAAAAAATAGAGGGTATACAGGATTCTATCAAGAAAATTGATGTCTTAAGTTCTAGATAAATTAAACTGATAACCAAGTAGGAAATGGATGAATTAGTTGTCTAAAGTAATCAAGAAGAATGTTTAGATTATAAATGTTAAAGTTATGGAACTATCAATTCAGAGAGTAAAATAAGAAATCAAGATAATTATATCATTCCTTAAATGAAAGTGTAAATACATTGAAATTGTAAATAAAATTAAATTTAATTTCGATTATTCTTAAAATTATCATTCAAGAAAATATTTCTTCTTAAATTACTTCATATCTGCTTATTGAATTGAGAAGTAATTTTAATTAATAAAAAAGGATAGATTAATTTTAATAAATATTATTCAAAATTATAATCATTTTAATTATTACTCTTCTTCTTTATTTCTAAAATATTAAACAACATTAGTTAGATTAAATGTATTTTTTAATTGTTTTTATTATTGTGCTTATTTAATAACTTATAAGAAAGTCATTCCAGTGGATTTTTTATTTGGTTAAGACTAAATAAAATAAATAAATGTATACCATATTAACAATAGGTTGAACAACAATGGTTTTAAGTTATTCTTCTAATATTTTTTCTTCTTATTAAGGTGTTATTTTATCAATTTTTAGTTCATCTTCATCTGGATTTGGTTGTTTAAGTATTTGACCATAAATCTTTGACATGGACTTATCAAAATCAGAAAGATCATCAGATTCACGAAATTATGCTTTGATAATTTCACCCAATCTAATATAAATGAGATAGATAAGTGCATCTAATTTTTTAAAGAGTGGTTATTATCTTCTATCATCAATAGTAATTTATTCATTAGTTCTAATAAGTGATAATTTTTCAGCACATCTTGCTAATGCTTCTAAGAATTCATAAAATTCCATTTAGAAATGTTTAAGTAGATAAAGTTCATCAACAGATGTTTACATAGCCAATAAATAGGCAAGATAAGCATCTCTTTCAACAAAAATATCACAATATAAATCACATTTATTTAATAAATCTCTAAAATCTTTAAATTATAACCAGATATGTTTATAATATTTTTATTTTGCATTTAATTTAGATGTAAATTTAAAAAGTAATTTTAACATAGGTAATCTATCTTCTAATAGAATATTTAATAAAATAAATTACTTAATAAAATGTCACATTATTCATTCCAATATCTCATATCTCTCCAATCTTGACTACGATCAATTTCTTATAATTTTAATTTGATTCCATCTTCTTCAAACATCTTCCTTAAACTTTCTTTAATAGATTTACAAATTTAAGTTCTTAGATATTTATCAATAGCTATTCTTACTAGAACTTCCATTAATTAGTATCTTACAAGTGCTTTTTCATAAACATTAGGATAATTAATATCTTTTACATTAGAAGTAGCAATAAAATTTAAATCAATATCTCCAGATCTAAATTTTTCAGAAACTAGTTATGTTGAGGATATAAAATCAGAAAATGCATTTGATGATATACAAGGAATTGTTGCACCAATAAGAGTGGACGCTAAAAATTTATAAGCAGCAAAAATATATGGATAATATTCTCTCATTATTTCTTTAACTTCATTATATTCAATAGGATCTTTAATTATTTTATTAATTTTAGAACTACCATAATCATATTCAAAACATTCATCTATTAATTCATCATTATCTGGTTAATAATTTTTAAATATAGATATTTCATAACTCCAAAATTTTTCAGTTTTAGTTGAAAATTAAGTTAAATCAAATGTTTTTTCTTCTTCTCTAGGTTTACTAAATATTTTAGCAAAATATCTATCCATAATAGATTATTTATCTTCAGTAAAGATTTCATTAACAAATCCCATTTTATTACCTTCTATAAGTATATCTCCATTATATAAGAATGATTATTTAGTAGAATATAAAGGATCATCTTAAGGAGTTTATATAATTAATTAATTTTTAGCTGTTGTTTAAATTCCAAGAACAGGATTACTAAAGAAATATGTAACTCTAAAATTAGGAGGACACATTCTATATGTATAATATTCTCCATTATGTAATGTCATTAATACTGGTTTGTAATTCTCAAAATTTAAATGTACAAATATAGGATCATTGTTCATTCCACCTGATTTACCAGGTGTCCATGTAAATTTAACTTCTTACCAACCATCACATATCCAACATGAATCTAATTCACTATCTCTATCATAATTTTATTTTATTGGTTTCATTCCACATATTCTTCTAAATCTAAAATTTCTATATAATTCATAATCTGTTTATAAATCTTTTATTCTTTTTTATTAATATTTTTAATGTTATTATTGCTCTTATATTAACATTTCAGGATTTAAATTATCATCAACCAATTTTAATGTGGTTTATGGATTCTTTTTACATTCCTCTATCTTTCTTTAAATCTCAATTGCTTCTTGTATTCTATCTCTTAAATGACCAGTTGAATCAACTGAAAATTTTGGACAATTTCCTTAATAATGAAATCCATAAATATTCTAATTTTAATCTAATGCCTTCTTTATTTCTATTGATTGTTCCTCATTATAACCATTATATGAAATGTCAATATGCATCAATTCTGGATACTATTTAATAATTACTTTGGCCATTTATTAAGAACATTCTAAAGAGGCTGTTCTGTTATAAGAAATATCAAAAACCTTTATACTTGAATTCTTATATAATGCTTTCCAAATATTAACAGCTCCAACACTATTTATTGAATTAAAATGAAGATATAATTCAAATAGAACTTGTGTTTTTTTAATATAGTTAGAAAGTTCATTACAACAATGTTCAGTTAAATTGTTTTTGGATAAATTTAAGTATAATAAATAGTCGTGATCTTATACTGCCTAACATAATGCATTACTTCCTATATCTCCTATTCGATTATTTTCTAAATTAACTTTTTTGATTTATGATTTTTAGATATATTTTGATAATAAGAGACAAGATTTTGAATCTAATCCATTATTCATTAAATCTAATTCTTATAAATGTTATGGAAATGACTTAGTTAATTGTTGAATTCTAACAGGAATAAGAAATAAGAATACTTTAGTGAATTTAGTTTGTTATGATTCAATTTAAGATGTGTCAATGTTTTGCATTATTAAGTTTTGAGAGCATCAGAAAATACTTTAACTTATTAAGGAGATCTAATTTATGCTTATGCATTAGCAACTTGGATATGATTGCATTACTAAACTAATCCTAAACCACTTTAGAATATTTATTATTATTAAGAGCTTTAATTAAGTTGTATATACAAATTAGGAGTTTATTTATAGAATTGTGCGTAATCTTCTAATTTGTTAAATTGTTTGATAGTTTTTCTGTAATCTTCTTGAGAAACTTTATTCAAATTCTTACTATTTTAATAGAGTGTATTGATTACTTGGCCAATCGAAATTTCCTCAAATATTTACCTCTATCAGTATTGAATTCAGAATTGATATCTACCTTATATTATAATTATTATAAGTATAGTTATTTCTATTCTTGATCATATCTCTAATTATTTTTAAGTTGAGATGGATTTGATTTATGATGATGATGTTAATGTTTTTTGATCATATTCATTCTTTAAGGACTATAATCTTGATACTAAAACTATTTCATTGAATTAGTATGTGCTTCATCATTTTGTCTTTCAATTTCTTATTAATCATTATCTATCATAACATCATACATTTCTGGTTTGTAATTATCAATTAATTCTCTAATAATTTTCTCTTCCTCTTATTCATTTAATCTTTCAAGAATACTCTTCTAAGGAGTTTATGGAGTTGATAATCTATTAATAATCATGAATAATAAAACTGCTATCTAATAGGTATTTCAGTCATCCTTGTTACATTTTGATATTTATCAAAAGTGAGAGGCATTCTAATTTTTTCAATATCTAAAATACATTAGACCTTAGGAGATGTTTATAATCTATTTAAACTATTTAATGTAGTTGTTTATGATTAAGATGTCGAAACTAAATGATAAATTCTAAATGTTACATACAAGTTCTTTTAAGCTTTTATTTAAAGGGTGTATTTTTAAAAGTTTCTTCTTCTTTTTTAATTTCTTTTAATCTCTATAAAAGTTTTTCTTTTGTGTTATATATTTTAAGTTTCTTAAATAACATATATATATTTTTAAATATAATTGAATCCAATAATGATTTCAAGGTACTTATCAAGATTTAAATACATGGATTAATTATAAAGATGTAAATGATATAAATATGAGAGTCTTGTAAAGTACAAGAGATACAGCTAAATGTGATTTAATCTAATTTAATAATGATTTTATCAATTAGCATTAGGTTAATCCTCTGGGTTATCAAATTCCTGGTTTTTATAATTACATAAAATAAGAAATTGTAAGGATTATATTAATATAGATTTAAGGAGACATAGAATCATTAAATAAAGCATCTAGTCATTATTTTAGTAAGGAAGGTAAATTAATAAGACCAATGTTAAATATGCTTTATGCTAATCATATTGATAAAAATAGCTAAAATACAGAATAACAAAAGATCTGGGCAGCAGTGATAGAAATCTTGCATGTAGCTAGTTTAGTACATGATGATATATTAGATGCATCAGATACAAGAAGAGGAATACCTGCATCTCATGTCATTTATGGTAAACATAGAGCAACATTCTCAGCTAATTATTTAATTGGAAGAGCGTAATTAAACAATATAAAAATAATAGTGGCAGAAAAATATCTGAATTTAATGATATTAGGATGTTCTAAATCTATTCATAAATTATGGATAATTTGACTAATGGTGAATATTTATAAGCAATGAAATAGAAGAGTTTCCATAATTTTCATATCACACTATAAAATTATATGATTAAGACTTATTATAAAACAGCAGCTTTAATTGCTAATAGTTTATAAGGAGTCTGTTAATTAACTACCATTAAAGATACAGTATGTCAAAAATCATTTAATATTGGATTACATTTGGGTGTTGCTTTCTAAATTATTGATGATGTATTAGATTATACTTCTAATACTGAATAATTAGGTAAAACTAGTTTAAATGATCTTAAAAGTGGAGTATTAACTGGACCAGTATTATTTGAATTGTTTAATCAATAAAAAAATAATTCACCTGAATATCAACTCATGAACTCTGTCTTATTAGGTTAATCTAAAGATTACGATACTGTTAATTCTATTGTCTTGGCTGGAGATGGCATTGAATAAAGCAAATATTTAGCTTATTTACATACTTAAGAAGCCTTAAAAATATTATCAAGCATCAACTCATAACCAGATTAAGATTTGATTTCTTTGATCTTCATGTTTATCAACAGAAATAAATGAATATTATTTATTCATTTTATTGTATATTTTTTAATTATATTCATATCAATTACACTCTCTATTTATACTGACGAATCATCATTATTTTACTTAATTTTTAAGAAAAAATATAATTCATTAACAAATAACAAAAAATTCTAGATCAATTCAATATCATCTAAATTTAGTATCATTGTTCAAAATAATAAATCATAAAATACCACTTATATTAATCTACAACAATAATATTAAATAAACTTAAATATGAGAATTAATAAATATGCCTTAAAGCAAACTTATCTATGATGAAAAGACTTTCTTATATGTAAATTAGATTTTTGATTCATATTATTATAACAATTAAACTAATTTATATTGTAAAGGCCTAAATCATATTAAGATTTTTCTATATAAAAATGTTGCGTAATAATTGACTATTCGTATTATTATATTAGAGATTAATTAATTTGTAATAGTANCTAGTCATTATTTTAGTAAGGAAGGTAAATTAATAAGACCAATGTTAAATATGCTTTATGCTAATCATATTGATAAAAATAGCTAAAATACAGAATAACAAAAGATCTGGGCAGCAGTGATAGAAATCTTGCATGTAGCTAGTTTAGTACATGATGATATATTAGATGCATCAGATACAAGAAGAGGAATACCTGCATCTCATGTCATTTATGGTAAACATAGAGCAACATTCTCAGCTAATTATTTAATTGGAAGAGCGTAATTAAACAATATAAAAATAATAGTGGCAGAAAAATATCTGAATTTAATGATATTAGGATGTTCTAAATCTATTCATAAATTATGGATAATTTGACTAATGGTGAATATTTATAAGCAATGAAATAGAAGAGTTTCCATAATTTTCATATCACACTATAAAATTATATGATTAAGACTTATTATAAAACAGCAGCTTTAATTGCTAATAGTTTATAAGGAGTCTGTTAATTAACTACCATTAAAGATACAGTATGTCAAAAATCATTTAATATTGGATTACATTTGGGTGTTGCTTTCTAAATTATTGATGATGTATTAGATTATACTTCTAATACTGAATAATTAGGTAAAACTAGTTTAAATGATCTTAAAAGTGGAGTATTAACTGGACCAGTATTATTTGAATTGTTTAATCAATAAAAAAATAATTCACCTGAATATCAACTCATGAACTCTGTCTTATTAGGTTAATCTAAAGATTACGATACTGTTAATTCTATTGTCTTGGCTGGAGATGGCATTGAATAAAGCAAATATTTAGCTTATTTACATACTTAAGAAGCCTTAAAAATATTATCAAGCATCAACTCATAACCAGATTAAGATTTGATTTCTTTGATCTTCATGTTTATCAACAGAAATAAATGAATATTATTTATTCATTTTATTGTATATTTTTTAATTATATTCATATCAATTACACTCTCTATTTATACTGACGAATCATCATTATTTTACTTAATTTTTAAGAAAAAATATAATTCATTAACAAATAACAAAAAATTCTAGATCAATTCAATATCATCTAAATTTAGTATCATTGTTCAAAATAATAAATCATAAAATACCACTTATATTAATCTACAACAATAATATTAAATAAACTTAAATATGAGAATTAATAAATATGCCTTAAAGCAAACTTATCTATGATGAAAAGACTTTCTTATATGTAAATTAGATTTTTGATTCATATTATTATAACAATTAAACTAATTTATATTGTAAAGGCCTAAATCATATTAAGATTTTTCTATATAAAAATGTTGCGTAATAATTGACTATTCGTATTATTATATTAGAGATTAATTAATTTGTAATAGTACATGATGCAATTTATATTTCTAAATAAATTGGATAAAATTAATATGATAAAAATATTTAGGTATTAATATATAAGAATAACCAATTACATAAAAATTTTATCATTTTTAGAAAACAATGAGGTCTCTGTGTTTTTCAACATGTAAAAGTAATTCCTCTACGTCTTCTTTGGGTATTTCCATATCTTATGCAATATTTTTGAGGTGTGTTTTAAATTTATCAAATTATTAGTTGGTAATATTGAGATTTTTGTGGACTTCAATTAAATCTCTATAATTATATTAGCAAGTATTATACCTTCCAGTGTATTACGTATTGGCATCGCCCATCATTTAAGCGAAGAATCGTTTTTATTAATATCGAACTCTACTCATATCTGCCTTCAAAAATTTGTCTCGAAGTAACTTATCAAACAGCACTTTATAATAGAATTAATCTATAAGTTCAGAAACTTATTGGTCTCCTCCAAATTTTTCAAAAAGGCATTTCTTTTAATTATCCATTATTAATTTTTATTATCAAATATTTGCTAAATATCTATTACGCTTTAAATAATGATTTTGATATTATAGCAATCAATTCCATTAAATATTGATTTCTAGATTCTTTAAAACTTAATTACTATTCTAAAAATGAAGAATAACAATACCACTATTAATATATAAATGCTTTATAAATTACTCTTATGATCTTTCGTGATTAAGTCTGTTACTAATAATAAATACAAGTTTTTTAACGAGTCATCTAGAATTAGTTATTAAGATTTATCTTTCATTAAAAATATGAGATTTTATTCAAGTATTAAGTATATTTTACTTTGATCATTTCAAATTCAATAGTTAGATCAAATAGTCAAAGTTTTGTTATAAATATTCTAAAATTTGTTGTTTTTATATAAACTTTTAATTATATAGGAAAGTATTTAGTTTTAAAATAATATTACTGTTAATTATTTAAAAATGAAATAATCATCATCATCAACTAATAAACTTATACCTCATTTAATGAGTAAAATTGAGTAATTGATATAAGAAGTGTAAAAACTCACAAAGTTATCAAATAATTTGATGGATAACTTATAATTATAAGAGATACAATAAAAAAGTTTATAAAACAAATATCAATAAGTCTGGAATCAACTGAGTGATGAATAGAAGATTAAGTTTAATTTGAATCAAACATCATTAATATAAACTCAAGTTGAGCCAACTTAATTATCAAAGTTAATTAGTAATATTGAAACTAAAGTACTTGATTTAAAACATTATCGTCAAACTTCACAACCACTTATTTTACCAGTTGTACATTAATGTTTAGAGTGTAAAAAGAAGGATGAATAAATTTAAGAATTGAATGATATAATCGAAAAAATCGATATTTAAATGAAAAAACCTAAGACTAGTTGTTCGACTCGATTAAATACAGAATTTTGCCTTAAAGATACTTAGAATCATTATTAATTATTTACAACAAAGAATAATTATTTAAAAAATAAATTTTGAAGTATTAATATACGTTAAATCAATTATATAAAGTTTTAATTTTGATTCTAATTTAAATATTTTATTTTATAACCTTAAGATTGTGTTGAATTATCTTTTAAAACCTTTATTTATTGAATAATCTTGATTACTTAAAAGTTTATTTCTGCTGATACTTGAATCTTAATCTATTTTCTTATTTCAATTCTTATTACTGAATCTGTGATTAAATTTTTAATTCATTATATCAATTGGCGTTATTGAGCTATTTTAATTTTTAATATTTTACAAATGTACTATTTAGAATTAAAGAGCTAATTCGAAACTTGATAATGATAATATTTTAATGTTTGCTATCAATACATTTTTTAATATGTTTTTCTGAAACTATCGAATATAGATATTTAATGAAATGGATTTGAGCAATTATAAAATGAGAGAATTCAAAAAATTAAGATTTTTTATTTTACTCTAAAATGAAACTAAATAAAAAGTGAATATATTATAATTTTTAGTATTAATTATGCCTCTAATTAATTTTGATTTAGTTTTTAATAACCAATATTGTTTTGAAGATAAATTTTCTGACACTTTGAGGTTGTCTAAATTATAATGAATTTATCTACAAATTTTATTGATAGTAATTTATTATGATATTTAGAGTAATATAAATCAATAATTCTTGTCATGATATTCTTAAATGTATATTTAGAATTACCGAAATGTCATGAAACATAAATTATGATAAAAATGATTAAATAATTATTTTAAAATTAAGAATGCGTGGACCACGATCAACCAGTCCTTGTCCTACGAAATAATAAGTTGAGAAACTAAAACTACTATAAACAGCAATTAAGAAAAGAACTGCAAAACCAGATTTTATAACTACATACAAAATTCACATAATAATATCAAGTACTATATAATAATCAATAATTATTTAGTTGTGATTGGGTTTATAATCATATCTATTTTATCATTTACAAAGTAAACAAAAGAATATATTATCATAAATGAATCTGAGATTAAATCACATAATTCACAAGGTCATTCATACACTTTAGGTCCGAATGCTTTTTTCTATGTTTTAATTAATA